GTCACCTTAACGAAATTTGCTGAACCATCGTTGATACTTACAAACGTTCAAAACATTTCCATAAACTTCTTTGATATTTTTTTTGGCTACAGAGGCCTTTTTGTATTCAAACAGCATTACATGCCGAATGTGTGTCTCGTCGTGTGCCATCACTGTAATTAGATTAGAGTATACTAAACTTTACACATTATATAGGCTACACTAACATGATGTTTAGGCAGTTTGTTTAACTATTTTTTGGGGGTGGTTAATGAACGTGTTCCAAAACATGACATTAATTTCTTGAAAACCTAATACTTCCTCCTTCCTGGGCCAAAATATAGAGATTTCTTAGTGATCCTACTCTTGAACACCCAGCAAATATATTTGACAATAGGAAAAGCAAGGGGGTTTAAGATGTAGCCCTGCCACTTTAACGGTCTGACCTTGTGCTTTGGTTACACTTTTTCCTGTCAGAAATGTGAATGTTTGACATTTTCAGTGAAATAACTTTAAATTTTCCAAGAAAAACTCAAAAGAAAAATTTATGAACAAAACTTGGTCCTTGATTGTGGAGTCATCAGCTAAAAAAACATATTTTTGCTTTGGGCATGGCCTTAGGTTGGTAGGGCTGGGTAATAACCACCATATGACATGCCTCTTGATCCATTGTATCTAAAATATTCTCAGTTTGGCCCATTAGTACCCAAGTTACCAAGCACTCACTAATTAGTGTTAATCATAATTTGCTGTGTCACCAATCAGGTGTACGAGTGTTTGATTCCTTTTGTGGATTGTCATGCTGGATAAGTACTAAACATGTGAAATACTTCAATTAGTCCTGACTCTCACATGGTCTGTGTTGCACATATTACTGTTTCAGACAGATGGTATATTAAATATAAGTTCAGAATAAAAAGGGCTCACTGTGTCCCAACATTTCTTCCCGGGTCACATCCACATTTGATACTATGCATATGTGCTTGATTTTATATTGTGTTATACCACTGAAAGCAATACTACATCATAGACTATTTACTCATCAGCTGTACATTTTTATGTGTTTGTATGTGATGTGGCTTTGCATAGGTACATGGTATGCTTATGTTAGTAATAACTACTTAAAAAGTCTCGCACATATATCTCTGACAGTCATAGTAAGATGGTGGAGCAAAGATGAAGCTCTGCACAAAGTTTTTGATGAACGTGATGATCCTGCTGCTTTTCTCTGTTCTGGCCTTGTTTTGGCCCTTCATGTTGTAATTTCTTCTGAAAGATTCAATGCCAGAATATTCTATGAAGCCAGCATTTTTGGTATTGCAGCATAGATTTGCCTAAGACTGTTTCATCACACTCATTTTCTGTCACAGTACTTGCAGACCTCTGTCTAAATTTCATCCTTGAATTCCATCCAGTAATTCTCTCATAACACTGTCTGTCAAAGATGCAGCTGGTGCATTTGTAAGATGAGCTAATTGCAATTAGAATATGTATAGATAAGGCTCTGTTGTGTACAAGAGTATATCACAAGTTGAGTCTATAGAGAGTGCAGTTTCAAAATTTAGCACATAGGTATATGTCGTCATGGATTACTCCATTCATTCAGAGCATAAAAGAGCTGTTCCAAGTTACAAAGATTGCATTGATCCACACCATCTTGACATTTTGTGGGGTGTACTTAAGAATGCAGAATAAAATATAAACTATGTTACAGCTATGTTACACAATTCTTCTAGAACTTAATGCTGCCAACTTTTAAGAGAGTTTATTTATTTTCCAAGATAAATGTCTTGACAGAAGGAATCTTTCTCAAATAACATTAATACCTTACCTAAGCCCACAGATACTGATGTTAGTAATGATGATCAACACTATAATGAACCTCAGGAACATTAAATTCATCTAGCTTTCAGTGTGTGTGTGTGTGTGTAGTAGTTGCAAGAAGTGTGTTTGGAATTGTTGTTCAGTTCTTCTGCAGTACAGCCTATGTAGTAAGGCTTATACATGAGCATCTTTTCTGTTCTTGCTTATGAATTGTTATCTTTATCAGTTACTGAAGTGACATGTAAATTATTGTTCTGATACACATCCAGATATGAATCCACAGCCTGCTTTCTCAGGATTATTTATAGACATTAAATCTCATGTCAATGAAGAGGAATATTCTGTTGAAACTATAAAGTAATCAACACTATGGTTCCAAAGAGCAAGAATCTTCTGAATCATTGTTTGCTTTAAGTTGCACAGAATATGAGAAAGATTTAAGTAAAATGGTTTTACTGAACACTAGGGGTGTTATGATTAAACTCAAAAGATATTAGACACTAAATATATTCTGTTTGCTTTGCTGTAACTTCAGCAGTTTCTTTTAATTCATTTGTTATGCTTTACTAAATTGGGATCACTGTTTTAGTAATGCATTGTAATATCACAAATAATTTTAAACCTAAGAGCCTTGTTGTACAAAGTCACAAATTAGTGTCTCATATTAGTTATTTTCTTGTTTTTTGATTGTTCTTAAGTATCTCGTGCCATTTTGTTAATTCGCAAGTTTTAATATCATACAACTTAATTATGTTTACTCTTCATTTAAGTTCCTTCATCTGGTGTACAAACACATTTTCAAAAAAATATAAATGTATGCTATAGGCTGTTGTTTCTAAAATTAGCTTGTTTAAAATCATTAATCTATAAAGGTAAAAATAATTTCTTGGTAGTATCCTTTCAAGACTTGTAAATTTCAATTACAGTAAATAACATGAACATAATTGACTGATTTTTAACATTACTACAATAAATAGTCTACCAGTTTGATCATCACAAGCTTCACAAAACATGTTTCTCTTCATTGTCCACTCCAGATCAAATCATCTATAAGCAAATTTACAAACATGTTTGAAACTCCAACCACCTTATACATGCAACCCTCATGCTTCACCACCAATTCAGCTTGATTTTCCTTTACCAGAAGAATCCCTGGTTTTGAAAAGAGTATGTTAGATACTAACTAAACCTCACCCTCCCTCAGTTGATTTTACCCTTAGTGAACTTATTTGCTAAGAGAGGAACATCCAAACAGAAAGTGTTAAATCAAGTCTTAGTCAAGCCTTCCTCTACTGTTCAGGTCTTTATTGGTATATTAATTAACAGTTTCCAGGTTAATTTACTTAACCAAACAAGAAACAATTAGTTTTAAAAATAACTAGGTAAAATACAAGTTAAGCCTCTCACAACCAGTTTGGTCCTTATTAAATTATAAATCTCAATGAAAAATTAAGAGTAGTCAGAACTAACTTCTTTTGCTTGTGTCTTTCTTGTGAATGCTTTTGTTACTCTTCAAACACATATATTTCTCCAAGGGGGAATTTCACTAAATTCAAATTAAGTTTTGATCCTTTATGAATCATGTTTGTCTCAAGGTAACATTAGTTGGTCAAGGGGATCTTCTGTTTGAGAGAGATTTAAGTTGCTTTTTATCAGGCTATATGTTTAGGTTCTGTGTCAAATACTTCATTTGTAATTTAGTGATTTATTAAGTCCTGTTATCTAGCAGGTTCTCTAACTAGTTATATCCCTCTTCATCTTCTTTTCTGAAGTAACAGTTTACATGAAGCAACAATCTTTATTAATACAGGTAGATGTGGCTGGAAGCACTTCTGTAATGTGGTTAGCTCAGGTCCATGGATATAATCACATTAGACTAAGGCCCAGAAAGCCATGTAACAACCTTTGTGGAAATCTAGAACATGTTCTTGAAGAAGGAGATATTTGTAAGTGAGCTTTTGTTGTTTCAAGTTAATATTATTAATAAAAGTTATCAATATTTCAGTAATTAACAAAGACAAGACCATAATATTTCATACAGTTTGTAAGTTAATCTGTAGTATTACACAATAAGTTAGCAGAATTGTATGACATCTAGTTGTTGCTGTTGCAATAACTCATAGGCTTGTGGTTTTAGAAGCCTAACTAATATGTTAAATGAGTATTAAATTTAACTTGCCTACAATAAACATAACAAATATATTATTGTTTATATAACAACCCCAAAAGAATGGTACAAAATTGACATATAATTATGTAGTTCCTGTCATAAAACTTGCATATAGTGGTTAGGCTTACTAAAGGTTAAAAGATTAGAAAGTGCAATGTTTAAACATGTTATTGGCAGTTTCTAGAGTAGAAATTATGCATTTCTTTTTAAATCATTTTCTCCATCCAGTCAAGAATGGTGTTATAATACAACATGATACATGCTTTTGAGATCTGTGGATGATATTAAAATTGAACAATAAACTGATATGAGTAATCAATAGCAACCCAGAATGTGTGTGTTTCAAGCATATTGTTGACTGTGTTTTATTAAATCATATTTTCATTATATCTATAACATGAGGTATACCACATAAAATAAAAAGTAATAACTGTACCATATTTTTCTGTTTAGCTTTGAACAAATGTTTTAATTTATAACAACTACAGCTGAGTAAGAAGAATACTTGAAATATAATTTACTTAAGAAGTCTTAACAACCAAATGTGATAGACTTTTAATATTCAATTTTATAATAGTCATTACATTTTAACTGAATCAACTACATGGTGGTAGAACCCAGTAAAATTTTTAATGAAACAAGATCCATAAAGAAGTCACTACATGTACATTATACTTATGTAACATTCAGTTGCACATTTCAGTCACCCTCAGTCTGGAATAAATGCAGATTTCACTAGAAAACTGACTACTAAAGCCGTAATAAGAGCATTACCCATGAACTAAAATGTAGAGAGCTGTTTTAGATTGTTGAGTCTTTTGACACATTATCAATTAGGTTTTTAAAGCTTTGTAGAACTAGTGTTCATCTCAGTTTGTCATATGTGGGCCAAAAAAAGTATCTATTCTTATAAACTACTCCTTGGTCCTTAGACCAATCTCAAACAAACTTCTTAGGATGATACAATGAACCAAGAGGTATATCATATGGTGGTTATTATCCAGCCCCACCAACCCTAGACCATGCCCACAGCAAAAATATGTTTGTTTAGCTAATGACTCCACAATCAAGGACCAATTTTTTTTTTTTAGTTTTTCTTGGAAAATTTAAGGTTTTTTCATTATAAATGTTAAACGTTTACATTTTTGACAGGAAAAATTGTAACCAAAGCACAAGGTCAGATCCTTAAAGTGGCAGGGCTACATCTGAAAACCCCTTGCTTTTCATATGGTCAATTATATATATGTTGGGTGTTAAGAGTAAGATCACTAAGAAATCTCTATTTTGACCCAGGACTTCTGATATGGTCTTTCAAGAAGCACTCAGAGTATCAATAAACACTGGGGCTGTAGAGAAGGACTAGTAAAAGTAATAAAGTAAAGTAATTATAACACCATTTTTGTAAAGTGGAATAAATTAGGTGTGAAATAAAGTAGTTGTTAAGTACACTATGTGTGAAATAAATTATACATATATAAATACAAATTCTTGATTTAATATATTAGTTAGCCTTAATTTACAATCAGTCCTTATGCCCCAGATGTTGAACAGGTGCCTCAGTTTGTATCAAAATAAGAATAACACAAAATTTTACTTCTTTCTGTTTCAATTTATCAGGCAAAATGTTTGAAAGGGGAGGTTGTAACTTGTGTGTTCAAAAGTCAATACATATTGTGCAAAGCACAATCAGCATGCAAAGCATATTAATGCTATGGGGGTCTGGGGACATGCCCTCCCAAAACATTTGTAAAAAATAAGTGCTATGAGATTAAATCTGGAAGCACTTTTGCATGAAATATAGCGTAAACAGTTGCATGGCTGTTCATATAAAATCCATAAACATCCAATGAAAATTCAACAAATCGTCATTCTGTTCTAACACTGTATGAGGAACTAGAATTAAATTAGCATAAATATGTATGTTTTATTTAAAGTAAAGTACAGTACTGTCTGCATGCAGAATAGTTATTAATTGTTAAATTATGTTACTAATTTAAATAACTCTGTACAACAATAATATATTAGTTATTTCAATCATTGGCTATCATATACGTACATGTATGCACTACTGAAATAACATGTTAGCATGATTTATTCTTCTGGGGTGCTTTTCCATAAATAACATACATACAGTTTCAATGTTGATAGTAGTATCATAATGATTATGCATTAAAGTTAGAGCACTCAGTCTTTCTTCTGTTTATGTATACCTCAGGTAATTATTCCACTGGTGGAAAGCAGATGTCGAATGTTTACATGAACGTAAACTTAGTGGCAGTGTGACAAAGAGCTTCAGTAACAAAGATATTTGGTACACTGAAGCATGCTTTGACAAAAAAAAGAGACAATTTTTTTAAAGCTCTGGATACAATGGGGATAACTGACAGTGTAATAAACATTTGTATATACGTTTCACTTGTTTTAATGTATTATTTTAAAACATTTTAGTATTATATTATTTTATTATTATTTTACTGTTTGTTTATTTTTAAAATTGATCGCCAACCTGAAAGTAGCAATACGGCTTTTAGCTTCCCAGGGGATGAAAAGTTTGAAATAAAATTTAATTTCCCTCATGCGAAAGTAACTTTTTTTGTTCACTTTCCTTCGCATTTCAGTTATTCACTCTAAAAACATGATTGTGGGAAATCAAGTAAGAAAATCAGATTCCCTTGCACTAAATAGATTTTCCTCTAAAATGGTAGATCTGTTGGATATGGAGTTTCTGTTTAACATAGAACTGTATATTAAGAATGCTGATAGTTATGTAATTAGGTTGGTAAATGCAATACTCCATATAAACAATTAGTTTATTCACATATATTAATATTTTAATGAAACAAACAACAGTACATTTTTGATGACTCTGAATGTGTTTAAGTGGAAGAATTATGGAAGGTCACTACTTTTTAATATTTATCAACATTTTATCTAAAACAGTAAACTACATAATCCACATAGCTTCATCAAAAATAAAAGGACGTCAAACTATAGATTAAAGAGTCTATAAGATTAAACTAGATTAAGAACAAATATTAATCACATCACTTTAAGTTAGAGCATTTACTTTTTTTGTAAATGTTGTTGACTAAATCTAACTTGAAACTTGAAGAAGGATTTACTAAATGCCGTATGAAATCTAAGTTTGTAAATCAGTTCTTGCAGTCTGTGTTTAATTTGACTATTCCTTCACATTGTACAGCTGTAGTGTTTTCAGTGTTACCTTGATCTTAGATGGGATGTCTGCCATGATATAAAAAGTTTATTGCAGTGCCAAGCTGATGTACATCAGCAAATCAAAAATCTCTTTTAATACAAATATTGCCAGTAGTGATTTTAATAATTTTAGATGCTTTGCCATAAATTTCTGCATGTTTACTTCCAATTTCTTAATTGATTTGGGCTGTATGTATCACCAGTGCTTGCCACATTTTAATCGCTGTACTTAATGCTCATGCTCAGTGACTAATCCACCTTGTTCCGTAAACATTTCCTGGAGATAAATTTTGTTGTTTAATGTCTCACAAGTATTTTTCAGGGAAGTTTTCTGTACTAATAAAAATTTGTATATAGCCTGCAATAACTCGGACATTTTCGGAACCAGTCTTGACTTTTTTGATGCATTTTTCAATGATAGTTCGACCCTGTGTACCATGCAATGGATACCAACAGTCTCTGGTAGAAACTTGAAGAATTTCTGATTCACTCCATTTCGAACTCCGAAATACACAGAATTTCTATCAACCACAGCTGAGACTATACCTGATAAATCATCCACTTGTAAATATATTTTTAGACTGTTGCACAAATGATTGCACACACATACAGTGTGAGGTTCATAATCGTTCAAGCATTGCACATACACAATTTCCTCCTCCAATGAAGAAACATCTGTACTACCATCACATAGTACAACAAAAAATATCATTTACCAAAGCTGCATTCAAATCTTCAACAATTAATTTCACAAACCCTGCAGGAGCTTTATCAGATAAATACCTTGATGTAATATTGGCACACTGGGATCTACCACACCTTTCTAAAAGCAGAAGATCACCAGTGAAAGTGTTATATGACTGGTTATATTTTGCAATTTTGAATGTAGTTACAAATCTATTGACAATCAGTTCTTTGTTGGCTTCATCTAGTTTTGAAGCCGATTTAACTATAGGCCACTTTTTTAGGTAGAGTAATTTTTGACAAAGCTGAAGCCTCATAGCACCTGTGTAAATCACTGTAATGATGCATTGTGATGACTTCTAGCTTCATAGTTGTTGCCCCCTTGATTAAAGCATCATTGTATTACCCTACATGCCAACTTTATTGTAATATGTGACACAATAGGAACACCATATTTTATTTTATTCAGTTTCAAGCCATGGTGTGCCTATCTTCCAGCTGGTCTTAAACTTTCATTCTTGTTTACTGAGCTCATAATCTATTCTATTCGACTAGCAGATGATAATATTTTGCTTGACCTCCCATGCTTGCCCTTGGAGATTTTCTCAAATGTGGGCATGGATTTTGCTCCAGGAATAACCTCAGGCTGAGCTCAAATTAATAAATTGTATTGGGTAGAAACAGTTGAAGAAGTGATATTTCAGGTAATATTAAATTCAAAATTTAAACAAATTACCCTACATATTGCAACAAAGCAAAATTGGCTTATATTATGAATGTAATAGAAGACTACTATTAGGCCTACATGTTAGATTAATTTTCTTGCCAACAACAGAAGAGGAAACTTCTTTAAATTCATACTCCACACTTACACTTGTACTGGTTCTGTCAATAGGTCAGTATAATGGTGAGTCTTTTTCCACAACATTCACATAATTTTACAAGAGTTATATGATGAATGTCTTGGACATTCATGCAAAAGCTAATGTTGCTATGTCTGTGGGATATTGCTACCTTCCTGGCCTTTTTCACTGCCACTATCTGAATCAATGTCAATAGGCCTGTCAGTGGATTTTGCCTCAGGCTTAGCAGTTTTTGATCTAGGGAGACTAGGACTGTCCTCTGACTTCCTTTTTTTTTCTTTGTAAATCCAAAATTCAAATGACTCATGTTGATAATAATAGAATTAGAACCGGCTCAAATTCACTAGCTTTCACGACTGCTTGCTACCTATCTAGCACTTTGTGTGTTACATTATAGTGTAGTTAATTCTAAAATCACGATCTGTAGTAGAATAATTTGTCTTTAATTATATTGTTCTATAGAGAGATTTCAAGTGATAGTTTATATTACAGACATTTTAAAGAAATTTTGTTTATTTTGATCCAATAGTAACATGTAAGTCTGGTAAATTGATAAAATTATTTATTTATATTTGCCTTGAAATGAAAACAAACTTAAATAATCCTGAGATTACTGCACATTTTAAATTGTGAATCCAATAATTAAAGATGGCTGCCCACATAGCATGTTTCCCTGCTCTGCTAAGCTGCATATATTTATCTCATCAGAACAAAAAGGATGAATTTATGAACAACGTGTAAGAGAATCAAAAACAAGAGTCGTTATGGTTTGGATAATCTATGCATAGGTAAGAGATATTGACATTTTGGTCTGATTTCCTGCAAATTTATGGGAAATGAGCAATAACTCGGCAATTTCTGGTACAGAATATCTAGCCTTTCTGCTAATTTCCCTTAACGAAACTTGATTTCTTCAAGAAACTGGAGAGTGTAAATTTCGACCCCTGCTTCCAATTACAAAGTGTTGACAAAAACCATTGCATGCAACTATTTCAAGCCAAAAAATGCTAATGCTTCAGAAGAAGAATATAGACTATGTAGAAAACATTAAATACCAAAAGCAGCTATGTTATAACTATATAAGCATAATTTTTTACCTCACAAAATTAGGGGTTTACAGCCCCCCCCCCCTATGTACATTCATGCTTATTGTATAAAGTCTAATTGTTTGCACCTTACTTAAATATGTAACAATGTTTTATACACATTTACATTATATGATATGTTCACAATTACTCTCAATACTTACTTCTAGATGCTTCTGCTCAAGTGTCAGATTCATACTTGGTTGATTATTTCTACCAAGTTCTTTACCTGTAAAATAATATTCCACTAGAAAAAAGTCCTTTCTTCAACATTAAGCTGTAGCATTTTAGGGTATAACTTCCAAAAGAAAAACATAGAATGACACACAGTATGATTCAATGCTCCTTGGTTACCATAGCAACACATACTTATGATGTCATCACTTATTTTATAACATCATACAGAATATAGGATATTAGGTGATGAAATTAAAGAGCTTTTGGGTATGTTTGCTTTGTTTGATATTTTTTTATTTTTTTGGTTAGTTATAAGTGTTTGTTTTTATTTCAATATACTTGTTTTGGGACCACCCTGTAGTTTCAAGAAAATTAATTTTTTTATCCCTCATCTATATATTTTAGATATCTTGTTGGAATAAATATAGAGATGTTTACACAGTATTTTTTTTTAAAAAAGGTATTTTTTACAAAATATTTGTTTTAACATAGAAGATAGTATGTATACATTATGCATGAGTTATAAGCTGCTATTTACTATAATTTGGGGTATAAGTTTGTTAAATAATGTATTCACAAACAACTAAATTCAGTAGCAATAATTTGATAAAAACTTGTAAATGATTGTTCATAAAAAGTCTTAAGATAACTCTTCAAAAAAATCTTAATTTTTTGGGGGAAGGTCTCTATTATAGTAGTTTATCTCATTTTATGATTCTTCTGTATCAAATTATTTTGTATGTAAATTAGCATTAAATATTATGTCAATCAGTTTGACAAACGTTTGTTAAGATGCTTAGAAAACATCAGGGATATATAAAGCTTTTTGAATAAATGCACTAAGAGGCAGTGTGAAATTTTAGGACTTTCATGGAGTCATGGAGATTTCTGTAATTAAAGGATCAAATAAACTGTCCATATATATACACACACACTTAAACTTGTTAACATAAACATTGGGAAAATGTTGACATTCATAAAATATCATTATGGGATTTTTATTTTCTATATATATATTTTTTCTTATGTTTTTATGTTAATCAGTAAGTCCAGTACACAAAACATTGTTTTGTAATCATGTTACAGTACTGTTTCCTGTCACCATGTGGAAGCTTGAGTACCTGCCTGGTGAGAATTCCAAAAATTTGGCAATAGCTGCTGGAGGCTTTTTTCAATAACCACAGAAATAAATTGTAGACTAATTATTGTGGTAAATAGTTGTAGAAGCTGAAATACATTTAAATATGTAGTATGAATAAGATAGTATTGGAAATTGCTACCAAAATTCCTTTGTTTTGTGCTCTCACTAGTAATCACAGAAAGTG